CTTTTTTTTACATGTTCAATATTTGAACTGCAATTTAATTTCAATCAATAAGCTTATTGTCATATGAAGCGTATAGCTGAATTTCTTGCACATCTTGTGAATTTCAGTTCATAGAGTCAAGGAAGGTGATTGGCAGTGTTGAAATACGTCAAGACTTGTACCTGGTCAAGGAAAATCTCTCTATAAACACAAATAATCTCCTCCATTTTACCTCAAATTTATGAGTTTGTTGAGTCTATGTCAAAAAATATGTAATGTTATGGCATTATTGTATGGGTCATCCTAATTTCAATTATATTGCAAACTTATATCCTCATTTCTTTATCAATAAAAACCCTAATTATCACCAATTTAAGATTTGTCAATTTGTCAAACACACTAAAAATACCTTCACACCCTTTTTCCATCAGCTACAGTGAAATTTAGGGACCTTCAACAGTGAAAACACTCAGAATGGCTAAATTGTCTTTCTCATTTATTGGCAATCACATTAGAACTACTTGAATATTCCTAATAAAGAAGATATTTAAAACAACCCAAATTTTCGAGAACATGATTCAAACTCAATTTCAATCCACAATTCAGATCCTTCAAACAGCTAATGCAATGATTATTTAAATTCCATGTTTGGGTCCTTTAAATTCGATGTTTGGGTCCTATCTTTCAAAAAATAAAATCATTCATGTGAGTTCATATATTGATATTCAACAATAAAATAGAATAGCTAAGAGAAAAATAGACATCTCCTTGAGGCATCCCGCTCAATTATGATGTCTTATCAAGTTCTAAAATACTTTTAGGAGAAAGCAATTCTTACTGCAATATTCCTTGTGAACTCTTGTATTGATAACCAAAAACATAATAGGATAGTTGAGAAAAAACAAGCATCTTCTTGAGGTATTCCGCTCAATTATGATGTCCCATCATGTTCTAAAATATCTTGGGGGAATCGAATATATAACCGAGTACTTAACTTCAAAACACCTATTCACATTTTGATGGTTACCTATCCACGCATCAGAGTTTCTCTCCTACTATACTACTTGAAATATTTTGGTGCGTATCCTTTGTTCAAGTCCATTCCTAAAATCGCACAAAATTTGATCCTAGATCTATCAAGCGTATTTTTCTTGGGTATAACACGAACAAAAAGGGGGTATAAGTGATGCCCTCCTGTTACCAAAAAAATATTGCTCCATGAATATCATTTTTTTAAATCAATCTTACTACCTCAAATTTGATCTTCAATGAGAGTGTAAATGAACATCAATTTTGTGATGCACTTGATAACACCTATACTGCCACCACCTACTCCACCTAGCCCTCATATTCTAGTTAAGGATGCTCAGCCAATGCAATCAACCCAATCTAAAGTTTAAAACAAAGAATTTTATGTGTACACAAGGAGGAAGATAAACCTTGAGATGGTGGAAAACGACTTGTAAAAACATGACTACTCAAACCAAAACCCGAGTCCACATTCACCTGAAAATTCGAGTAAAGAGTCTAGTAATCAAGAGTTATCCCCATCCTCTTATGGTGTAAGTGAAAAGAAAAGCCGCATTAGAAATCTAATTTAGGAGTATGTAGCTTATCTGATTATGGGAAGCTCTCCTCATCCTACAAAACTTTTGTTTTAATATTAATAGTATGCAGATTCCTAAATTCATTCATGAAGCTCTTGAAAACTCAAAATAGAGGAAAGTAGTTGAAGAGATTTGAGCACTAAAGCATAATGGTACATGGATTCTTACTAAACTCCCTCAACATAAAAAATCGGTTGGGTGCAAATGGGGGTTCAACATCAAATACAAAGCTGGTGAGAGTATTGAGAGATTCAAAGTCAAATTTGTTGCAAAATGTTTCACTCAATCCTATGGGATCGATTATCATGGGATATTTGTACCAACTGACAAACTTAACAGTATCAGAGTTAATTTTTCAATGACAGTCAACAAAGAATGCTGATTGCATCAACTTGATAAAAAAAATGACGTCCTGGATAGGGATCTGGAAGAAGAAGTGTATACGGAGATACCACCAGAACATGAGAATGATTCTAACAAACACCTAGGGTGTGGTTTGAAAGGTTTACTAAAACTATGAGATATAATGGGCATTCTCAAAATCAATTTGATCGTACTATGTTTGTAAAACACGCTAGGGAATGTAACATTGTTGCATTGATAGCTTTTATGGATGATATAATTCTTATGGGTGATCATGAAAGATAGATTCTCAAGATAAAGAAGTGATTGGCACGGAGTTTGAAATCAAAGACTTAGGAACTACATGATATTTTTTAGGTACAAAGATAGCAAGATCCAAGAAAGGCATCATTATATCACAGAGAAAATACATCCAAAATCTATTAAAAAAACAGGGATGTTTGGATGTAATCCTGTTAATACTTCAGTAGATCTCAACCACAAGTCAAAGGGAAGGAGAAAGTATCTCTGTGGATAAGGCATGATATCAAATATTAGTAGAAAAACTCATCTCTGCCTGTCACATACGAGGTCATATATTGTATACAATGTCAGTATTGTGAGTCATCACATGTAGCACAAATGAAGGACATTTGGAGATGGTCTACAAAATTCTGAAGTTTCTCGAGAAAACTTCTGGTTATAGATTATCTTTGAGAAAATCAGGAGCAAAGAGGAGGAAGTCTATATTGATGATAGTTGGGCTGGGAAAATCACTAAAAGAAGGTCCACCATATGTTATTTCTCTTATGTATAGGAAAATATAGTGACATGGAGAAGTAAAAAAATAAGATGTTTTTCGAAGCAGTTCAGAATCAGAATATAGGGCACTCGCCTTGGGAATCTATGATGGGACCTGGATTAAAAAATTGTTAATGAAATTGTGATGTACCTCCAATAGGCCTACATAAATGTTTTGTGACAATCAAACAGCTTTTAGTATTGCCAAGAATCTTGTACATCATGTTAGGACCAAACATATTGAAATTAATAGACAGTTCATCTATGAAAAGGTTAATGGGAAACTCATACAGCTAAGTTACATCCCAACACACCAACAAGTTGTTGATGTAAGCATCTTCTCAAAGTTCAATAACAAGCTTGGTTTCTACAACATCTACGCCCCATTGATTAGTTGATCAGCTTCATATTCTATGTTATTTTGTTTTTTTATTTCAGAATCATTTTTTCCCAATTTAGATTAGAAATATTTGATAAGTTTGAAAATTAGGAGAGATTGTTTTTCCTATATATTTAAAAAAAAAGTATGGTCGGAGGCTATCATACGAGTCTCGGTCATCGCTCATGCGCCTAAGAATTCGAGTATCACACCCTACAATCGGGGTGAATTGAACCCGGAACCAAAGGGGACTTACAGCTAACAAGCAGATGCCCGACCAACTGATCTGAACACCCGGCGCATATATATATATATATATTGTCAGCTCTCTACAATTAAACTTCCACTTGGTCAACCTAAATCATTCTCCTTATAAGAGTTGAAGTTAAAAAGACTAAATTCACACTTAACTGGTATGAAACCCCTTCTTATAGAGACTGGATTTATGCTCTGACAATATTAAAGAAGAAAACTTTAACCAAATTTTAAGTGTAAATATTTCAAATAAATTTTTATCACGATGATAGTTGAGTTGAATGTAAATCTAAACAGAATGAAACTTTAATTATCAAAATATTTAAATAAAATTAAAAATCCAAAATATTCAAGTAAAACTTATCATCTTAAAGCTAAAAGTAATTATTATCCACCCAACGCAACTGTTTGTTGATGATTTGTCCTAACATCTACACTATATTACGGTAATAGTTGTAGCACATGTTCCCCAATGGATTGTTGCACTTTGAGATGTGAATCATGTGGAACATTAGATTTATGGCATTAAGCCCTCCATCAACTAAGGTCGGCTTGAATTTGTCTTCATAAGCAAACACCTCCCAGGTCTACAAAGTCATATTGGCCAAAATAACCTATGGAAGCTAACAAGAATTCCTCGATCAAGTTGGATAAAATAACTCATCTAGCTAAGTAGACTAAGATCCATTACAACATGAGATAATAAAACCATGAAATCTTAATCAAATTCAACATCATTTTTACCAACATCCACTTTAAGTTTACAATGGAAAATGTCTTAATCTAAAGCTCTAACTCCTGCTACAATATGTTGAGCAATCAGCGAGTAAGTAACTGGGCTTAATCAAGAGTTTTCTCTCGTTATCAGGAAAGGTAATTAATTGTAAAGCCTTTCACCTAGGGGAAAACTCAAACCCTATACCCTAAAATCCTGGCAAAATGGGGTGAAATCTCTAATTAGTGTCTTATATGTAATTTAATTTGTTTTTTTAAATTTTGACCTTAAACCTCACACAAATTCTCATCGTCAAGAGAGGCTGGGGACGGAGCAAATTTTCACAATTGACACGTAAGTTAATAGGAAGGGCTTCATAATAATGTTGAGACACGTAATTTAATAGGAAGGGCTTCATAATAATGTTGAGAATATTAGAATTTGCAGGTGATTGTTATTATTAAAATGATTGTTTATTTGATACCCTATCAGCTTTGATTGTTTTGAAAATGTTTATTGCCAAATAAACTCTTGCATGCATACCCATTATCACCATGACCTGGGGTGTCACAAGCCTTCTGAGAACCAATGAAATCTTTATGGATCTTGCATTACCCAAACATATACAATAAATCGACTTCTCTTAGATCTATGGCACTGACAAGGATTAGTGGCCTTTTTCTTCTTTTGCTGCCTTATTTTGCAACCATATTGTCAAGCAACACTAATAGAAACTATTTTGTGCCAGTTATCCCTCCTATATAAGTATTTACTATAGAAATAAGTATCAAAAAATATTATTCATGATTTAAACTCGCAAACTTTCTCTAAATAACAGAATTATCCTTTGTAGCCTATGGCTAGGTTGAAGGGGAACAAATAAAGCACCACCCTCTTTGAAAGAAAAAGAACACCTGATTACCTGCTCACATTTCCCAAGTTTTTCCTTGTCGCCAGTGTATCCCTGAAAACAACAAAAAATCATAAAGCAAGCCAAAACCTACAAAGAAAAAAATCCTTCACACAAACGTACAAAAAAAACTTCAGTAAATATATGAACCTTAAGCAGCTCCATCTCTTCTTTGGTTGGACAAAACTTGATCAGGTTATCAACTTGGTCAACATCTAGAACAGAATCATCCAATGCTAAAGCAGCACTCTGAGACATCAAAGAAAAGTAAAAAATAACTCTCAACAACAGGTGCAATAATCAGACGGAAGAACGACCTCTTGACAGAAAGGAATTTCCTTTAAGAGCATCCTAAAGAATTGCTTTTACATGGACAACTTTCGTAGTTAATTCTAAAATAAAAGATCGTTTTGTATGATTAAGGAAAGTAAATCAATCCATAGTTCGCTTATAGCTTATCAGGCATAAAAGAATTTAAAAAAAAAACCAAACCAATTGCACTCAAACAAGCTGGAAGCTGCAAAGAATGTTAGTCTCTAATTATTAATCAGCAGGGCAGAAAAATGCTTTATAGAGCCAACATTCTGCAAAGAACTATGGATATGAAAAATTAACCAAAGCACTTTAGCTCATGATGTCATACAACTTAAAGACTCTAGTTTACTAAAATAAATTTAAGACGAGATCATAAGAAAATAAACCAATTATCAAAGTTGGAAATCCCCCAACAATTAATCAAGCTAAACTTCCTCAATGTTAATGCAAAATTAAAAAAACAAAAGATTTGTCCCAGATCACCAAAAATATTAAATTTAAAAAAAAACAAACAAACAAAAGCATGCAGGCCCGTTTGGGGCAGCTTATTTGGTGCGGTGGTGTTTTGAAAACACACCTGGCCTGTTTGGATAAACAGCACTTTGGCAGTTTGTGTGTTTTCAAAACGCTGAAAATTGTGTTTTCACGCCGCACCTATCTTGGTGTTGTGGGAGCTTTCTGGCAGCGGTCTAGCTTTTTGAAAAAAAAAATAAGCTACAACTGCCCCAAACAGACCTTCAGACAATAGTTGACTTGTAAAATCTCAATCACAAGAGCAAAATCAATTGCAAAATAGATGAGAAGAACAAGGAGGACAAAAATCACCAAAGATCCTGCCCTTACACCTGCACAAAGAGAAAACATTCACCAGAATTTTGTCATTAAGACTTGTAACGTGCTAGAGGAATACACATTCAACAACACAAACAAATTTAAAAGAAATCTGAAATTTTTTTAAACAAACTCTGAATTTTGCATTTTACAAGACCCCTTGTTTATAATCAAACCTAAACCATAATTGATAGTTCTGATAGGAAATCTCCAATTTTACGGAGGCTTAGAATCAATTAGAAACTAAACCACACTACGAAATAATAGGATCACGCCAATTCGATAAAAAACTGGAATAAAAATTAAAACAGCAGCATAATCAAAACAAACTAGAAAAGCACACGATAATTTACCTGAAAAAAACCGAAAACGGAAAAAAACCACAAAGTCACGCCACCAAAAATTTCTATCATAAAATTCAAAAGGTTTTACAAGAACTTCACACAAAAATTCTCTCCACACACAAAAAAAACTTACAGGACTCGCTCCGCAATTTTCCTCTCCGATCCTATGCAGAAAATCACGTTGAATTACTGAAATCCACCTTTTCGACACTCCTCACCATCACTTGGATGCTCGTCGAAGAATATCGAGGAAAGAAATAGCTAATCTTCAGTTTTCGTCGCTCGAATTCGGGATTAAAACCAAATCCTGCTTTCAAAACGCCCCTGGAGCTTAGGCGCCCAAACTTGGCGCCTAAGAGCAAAGCTCTCGAGAAGTTGTGCCTAAATTCGGCACATAAGCGCCCAAACTTGGCGCCTAAGCGCAAAACTCTCGAGAAGTTGTGCCTAAATTCAGCACATAGGCGTCCAATAGTTGGCGCCTAGGTGCCAACATAATTACGCCTGCACCTATATCGACACCTATGTGGGCGCATATGCGCCCATGGTTGGCGTGCATAGGCGTCGACTCCTCTGTAGAACACCCAAGTGTGGTGCATATGCGTCGGATGTCTTGTCTGTTGCATCGGCTCCACAAAACCCAACAATCTCCCACCTTGAGACGATTGCATCATGCACCCATCCTTTATATTTGCACCTCCGTCTGAATTGTCTTCATAGTCACGTATCATGATGTCGCTCGCCCCTGACCTCAACTTCATGAAACCCAACTGAAACCAAGCATAGCTTCAGTTTCTCCACAGTCATCATCTTCGTCAACATATCCACAGAATTCTCAGTTGTGTGTATCTTTTCCAGAAATAAATGCCCATCTTTTAGAAGGAATTGAATGAAATGATACCTAAGCTAGATGTGTTTCATCCCTACATGAAACATAATGTTCTTAGTAACATGAATCGCACTCATATGATCATTGTAGAGTTTTCCAATACCCTGTTGCTTGCCCAATTCTGTCATGAAATTATGTAGCTAAATCATCTTCTTGCTAGAATCAGTGATAGCAATACAATTGGCCTCCGTAGTTGAAAGTGCAACAATCTTCTGCAACCTGGAAACCCAACTTACCATAAGTGCAACAATCTTCTACAACCTGGAAACCCAACTTACCACTGTGTTCCCCAATGTGAAGATATATCACGTTGTACTTCTTTTACTGTCCACATCTCCTGTCAAATCCAAATCTACAAAACCCTATAGACTGATCTCTACACTGGCATAACAAAGTGTCTTGTTGATTGTTCCTCTAAAATACCTGAGAATCGACTTTACAGCCTCCAATGATGTCTGCCCGGATTGTCCATGCATTTGTCGACCACTCTCGCTGCATATGCAATATCTAACCAAGTACAAATCATCGCATACATCAAACTTCCAACTGTTGAAGCATACGGAGTCTCTCTATCTATCCTTGCTCTGCTTCAGAGTTAGGTGATAGCCCCTCTAATAGTTTGAAGTGAATACCTCGCCTCACTCATGTTAAACCTCTGTAGGATATTCTCAACATCCTCTGCATGAGACAACTTCAGTGTTCCTACACCCCTTTCCCTATTGATTCTCATCCCGATGATCTTCTTGGTTGAACCTAAATCCTTCATCTCAAACTCACTTGAAAATTGTTTCTTCAATTCTCTGATTTTCTTCATATCTGCCCATACAATCACCTTGTCATCCACATACAAAAGAAACAAAATATAACAGTTACTGAAGTGTTTGAATTTCTCCATATCTACCCTGGCAATTAGCATGTCATACACAAACAAAAGAAGCAAAATATAACAGTTACTGAAGTGTTTGATGAAGCAACAGTGGTTTGTATGGCACTTCTTGTACCCATTATCTGACATGGACCTGTCCCACCTCTCGTACCACTGTCTCGGGAGCCTACTTCAAGCCATAAAGGCTCTTCTTCAATCTGCAGATCAAACATTTTTTGTCTGGAACTTTATAACCTTGTGGTTGCACTATGTACAGTTCTTCCTCCAGAACTCCATGTAAAAGGATTGTTTTTACATCCATCTGCTCCAGATGTAGATCTTTCACTGCTACCAAACTTAGCACAACCCTGACAATAGTCATCTTCACCACTAGGGAGAAGATCTCTGAGTGATTCAATCCTTCCCTCTGTTGGAAACCCTTCACGACAAGTCTTGCCTTGCAGCGCTTGCTACCATCTAATTCATATTTCAGCCTGTAAAGCCACTTGTTGTGTGTGCTCGTTTGCCATGTGGTAGTACCGTCAAATCACAAGTCTAATTTGAATCGAAAGATTGCATTTCCTCATCTATGGCAAGCTCCCACTCCCTTGAATATTCAACCTAAGTCATCTCCTGAAAATACTCTGGTTACCACTATCAGTTAGCAGCAAATAGTGCAAAGAAGAAAAATACTTTTGCATGGGTCATTTCACTCTGTTGGAGCTTCTGGATCCTGTAGCAGGTGACTGAGGAACTTCCAGTGCTCCTTCCGATTGAGCACTACATCTTTCTCCATCCACCTGAGCACCAGTATCATCTATCTTCACATATATGGATTCTTTAGAAGTAGCTGACGGGATATCCTGACTTATGACCTGGTCTTTGTACATCTCCATTTTGTTGAAAGTGACGTCCCTGCGCTTGATGAATTTCTGATTCTAATATCTAATAATCTCATAATTGCTAATCAATCTCATCTGAGTCATATCCCATGAAAGTACACTTAACAGATTTCGAGTCAAGCTTTCTCCTGGACCCTGCATCAACATGCACATATATAGAACACTCAAATACTCTTAAATAAGATAGACATACAGTTTGTCACACCAGACTTCATGAGGTAAGCCTTCCTCCAAAAATATTGATGAACTACGATTAATCAGATAAACTATGGCATTAACTACTTCAGCCCAAAACTGTTTTGTCAAGCCAGCATGCAGTCTCATGCTCCTGGCACGCTCCGTGATTGTTTTGTTCATGTGCTCAGTCTCATCATTTTGCTGCAAGATCCTTGGGACAGTGAACTCGTGTTTGACCCCTCTGTAGCACAGAAAGTCTTGAACTTTTGATCACGATACTCGTCCTCATTATCTAATCTAAGAAACTTCAGCTTCAAGTCTCTCATTTTCTACAATAGTCTTTCGCTTCTTCAAATTTTTGTTTTAAGAAATAAACTCATACATTTCTCATGTAATCATCAATGAATGTGACAATAGTGGAAACCTCTAATGAACTAAACTGGAGTAGGGCCTCATGCATCAGCATGCACTAACTCCAATTTTTTTATTTCACTGCTAACCCGCTTTTTGAAAAAGAAACTTTCTTTTGCATGTCATATATACAATCTTCACAGAATTCATATCAACTAATTTCAAACCCTGAAGTTTATTTTTCGGAAGTAGGGACTTTATACCTTTCTCGCTCATATAGTCAAGCATAAAGTGTCACAGACCTGCACCCACTCTGGTTCGAGCCACATCATTGAAATCAGTCATTTCATTGATCAGATAAAGAATGTCTTTAATGTTGCCCCAAGCCATCACTGATGCCCCTAGTCACCTTCTACGAATCCCTGTGAAAGTAGTCATAAGTCCTGACTTTGTCAGCCAGCTTACAAAGATGAGATTTCTCTTTAAACTCAGAACATATCTAACTCCAACAAGCTTCCAGACTGTTCCATTCGGCAATTTGATATCAACATCACATTTTTCTATTATACTGCAGGTCTTGTTATCTCCCAAATAAATCTTCCATAAATCACTCCGAGTGTAAGTTTTTTAACACCTCTTTATCGGAACAAGCATGAAAAGATGCACTTGAATTCAATCCAGGATTCAATACTAAGGGTGACATCATGGATTCACTTTTAATTTCACCAGTGAAGATATTAGTAGAGAAACTAATTGTTTGTCCTCCACCACCAGCTTTCTTGGGGCTTTGCAGTACTTGAAATGCCCCTTCTTACCGCAGTTCCAGCATTCTCCTCTTCTTGACTTTAGTTTTCCTTTCTTGGACTTAAATCTGCCTCTAGCAATATTACTACCTAGATTCCTTCCCTTGTTATTATCATTCAACGCAGAACCTGAAGATTCACCATTCATAATATTTTGTGAATTTCTTCATTCAGCATTTAGCATCAGACCCACGATAACATTAAAGTTAAACTTTGAAGTCCTTAAAAAATTATCATCGTCGTTACCAAGGCATCCCAACTTTCCGGCAATAAAAATAGTATCATTAGTGCTCTGATCTCCTCATCGAACTTGATACCTACGGAACACAATTGGCTCATCACAGTGTTAAAGTTATTAAAATGTTCTGCCATTGAACTGTCTTCCAACATCTTCATGTTGAATAACTTCATCAAAAAAAATTTATTGGAAGTAGAAAGTTTTTCGTACATCTTGGTCAACGTCACCATGAGATCCACCGTAATTCGCTCATTCACAATGTTGAATGCAACAGATGAGGAAAGTGTCAACCTAATCAAACCCAATGTCGTTCGATCCAACACTTCCCAATCCTCCAAAGGCATAGATTCATGCTTCTTTGTGATTACTTGTAGTAGCAAGTATAATTTTTTCTAATACAGCAATTCCTCCACCTGCATTTTTCAAAAAGCAAAATTCGTCTCATTGAACTTCTCCACTTTGAATTTTACTTCTTCGGTCATCGCTCTCACTCGAATCGAAGCTCGCTCTAATACCATTGATAGAAAATCCAAAACTTTACCGGGGCTTAGAATCAATTAGAAACTAAACCACATCGTAGAATAACAGAATCGCACCAATTCGATAAAAACCCGGAACAAAGATTGAAACATAAACACAATCAAAGCAACCAAAAAAGTACACAAAAATTTATATGGAAAAACCGGAGAACGGGAAAAAACCATAGTCACGCCACCAAAAATTTTCACTATGAAATTTAGAAGGTTATACAAAGAAAACACAACTTTTTCTCCACATACAAAGAAAACTTACAACGCTCGTTCCACAATCTTCCTTCCAATCCGCGCAAAAAATCACTCTGAATCACCGAAATCCACCTCTTCGACACTCCTCACCTTCACCAGGATGCTCGTCGAAGAATACTGAAGGAAGAAATAGCAAATCTTCAGTTTTCATCGCTCGAATTCGGGATTAAAACCAAATTCCTCTTGCAAACCATGTCTAAGCGCCAAACACTCGGGAAACTGTGCCTAAATTGGTCACATCGGCGCCCAATAGTTGGCGCCTAGGCGCCAACAGAGCTGTGTTTGCGCCTGCGCTTATATGGGCACAAATGCACCTCCTTTGGAGCACACCTATGTGTGGGCGCAAATGCACCCACAACCCAGTGCATATGCGTCGGGTGTCATGTCTGTTGCATAAGCTCCACACAACAAGTTTCCCAAAATCCCCTAAACTATACTCTTACAAAAACCACTGATCTTATCATAGCAATCCCATATATAACAAGTTTCCAATCTGCCAAATTCCATTTTATGGGAAAATCCAGCAACTTCTGACCCTGCACTACAACAACAACAACAACAAAGCCTTAATCCCAATACGTGGGGTCGGCTACATGAATCCTTTTTCTCCATTGCGTCCTATTTAGTGTCATATTTTCATTTAGATCTAGTAAATTAAGATCATTTTTAATACAATAAGCCCAAGTCTTCCTAGGTCTACCTGTCTTTCTTAACACCAGTCGAATTTAAAACATCTACTCTCCTAATCGGATCATCTAATGGTCGACGTTTAATATGACCAAACCATCTAAGATGACTTTCTCTAATTTTGTCTGTCACAAGAGCTACACACTACGTTGAAAAAAAAAAAAAGAAAAAGAAAGGACAGCTAAAATGCCCGGTTAAAATAACACATAAAACATAAGTGAAGGAGGGTTTGCATACATACCATCTAGTTTTATATGTTTACATATCTAACACGTAGATCTTTATATCTACTTATATAGCACTCTAGTATCTAAATCACATCCAAACATGAGTATGAAAAGGTGTATTTCACTTTAAATAAAGCTAGTGGATATTTTTTATGAAACTTAGAGATTAGGGCGCTATATCAAAAAATAAAAAGATTTAAATGTTAGATATGTTAATACATATATATGCAGAATCCAAAACCAGCAATTAATTCAGCATAAACCGAATTAAATTCACAGCATTAAATATAGAGTAAATAAGTTTACACATAAAAAATTACCTAAGCTCAAAAACTGCATGACACTTGATCATGATTACAAGTAAACTTAACGTCAAGAACTTAACTATAAACCAAAGCTTAGTTCAAACCAAAACTGATATTAAAGGAATGGCGTAAGTAACTCATCATTAGCATTGCCCCAATAACTTGAAGCCAACTTTATGAATTCAAATTATCGCCCCTACAAGCGTTGTCAAAGGTAATAATAACAACAAACTAATTTCCAAGTAAGTTCAAAAGAAAATTAAAAAAGCGCTAAATTTTGAACAAAATGATGTTGGAAATGATGCGAGCGTTCAGGATTATGATCATGGCAAGAAAACGGATGTTTAAGTAAAAGTTTTTGTCTTAAATTCAAAGAAATGTCAGTTTCTAGGAAGTTGACTGATATCTATGTAAAGGCATAAATGCATATATCTATCAACGCTATCTTTACAGGGCAGATAATGTTTTCATTACAATAATAACAAAACATGGCTGCTTACCATTAGATCAGGGAGCGGCATCTTAACTTTTGTCAGCATAATCTCAGTGTTATTTGCCCGCCTAAGTTCAATCTGCATAACAAAATAAGATTTATGAGTTCAAAATAAGTAAATAGAAACACTTCTGCTAAATAAGAACTGAGATAATTATAAGCTTTTAACAAAAATGAAAACAATTAGCTCTATCAACATAATTTGAATTCAACATAGGAGTGCATAAATACAGACTAACAAATAACATAAATTTAAAATATTTCAAATGAATTATGGAAGGCATTTTGAGGGCAAGAAAGTCTGCCCAAGTTGAGAAGTTAAAGATAACTTTCTAAATGAGCATGCAATAACAAATAGTTTTAAATCTCCTCTGCTTGCAAAAGGCTCATCAAACATTCACAAATAATGCATTATTCTAAAGATGGGCACTGAGCAAAGTTTAGAGACTAATTAAATATTTTCAACAGCTTAGTTCGTAGAATCATTTCAGCTTCTGATGGATGCTAAAAAACTGAAAATGGTTTGGTTGCAATGCAAACTAGGCTGTTGAGTAAGAAAATAGAAATATATATAATGGAGCTTAATCAACATCAAGGTTTAGAGAATAATTAGATATTTTCAACGGTTTAGTTAGTATTGGAATCATTTCAGTTTCTGATGGATGCTGAAAAAACAGAAATGGTTTGGTTGCAATGCAGGCTATTGAGTAAGAAAAACACAGAAATAATTATAATGGAGCTTAATCTACATCAGAAAACAGTTTCGAATTTATTCTGCACAAAACTAGTTAAAAGAGGGCCCCTTCTTTTAACTAATCTCCGGATATCTCCTTGAATTAGAAGTTAGATGATTAGGGGATTCACCTTCATTGCCACCTTTGAAATCAAAAACAAGTTCAATGACATTGCACTTATCTATTTTTTTAGCACATGAATGAATTGTTACTTTGCCGAAGTATAAGAAAATCTTAACTGCTGAGGATTTCCTTTGTTGTTGCACAGCAATCGTTACAAAGTTAAGATGACAAACTGCAAGGCCAATTGCTAACTTGCCAATACATGCAAATTTGGCTTATTTTGAATCACACGTATCTACGTATTTTTGGGCATGTTTATTTACAATCAAATCAGATTGTTATAAACATAAACAAGGAGAATTAGGAGCCTAACACTCTACCAACTGAGCTAAATGGGCTTGGTGTTATGACATTATAACATAATAATAATAACATAGAATTCTCTTCAATAAAATCGCCAACTCAGCAGGCTATTTTGCATGCTGACATGACAAATAAACTGCGAGCAATTTTGCATGCTGATGTGGCTATTTTATCTATTTAGACTTTTATCTTTTTTAACATTTATTAAAATAATAAATTTATGCTATTTTAATTTTTTTTTATCTTTTTTAACATTTATTAAAATAATAAATTTATAAAAAGTGCTATTTTAATCCTAATCTGTGATTGCATTGTCCAGCTTTGAAGAAGATTATTTGTAATACTCAAATATTTGCCATAATAAATTGATTAAATAAGCAGCCATTGTTTACTGAGGTTATAAGAGCCAGGGAATTTTTTATTCTTTTTTGTTGGGGTTGGAGCGTACTTTTCCGCTCATAAGTGGGACAATGTGGTGAAGCATGAGAGTGGGCGGTGGGAGCAATTCAATAACTAAGCATGTGCAAGCAGTCCGCAAGCAACAAAACCGACAAAAATCTTAAGAATGCACCAAACAGAATCATGCACACAGAATGAGAAGAGCTACATGCGAAGTTGGTACCCATTAATTACCAGGTGAACTTTCTCCGATTTTGATCCAAGAGATTTCCTCTTGCCATCTGCCTTTAAACTGTCATCTGATTTTCGGGTGACAGCGGAGAAGAGACATTCCAATTCCGAGGCATCGAAATCTGAAACACTGAAAGCAAAAAATGTTAATATGTATTAAGCATTTAAGCATGATCCGACCAAGCTGCCAATTAAAAAGATATAAAACACAATATAAAATAATCATATAAGCAGAAGAGCAGTCCCCCTTGTACCAGCACTGTATGTTACTATGTGGCGCACAAAAAATTGATTGCACAGGGAAGTAGGTGCCAGGCGGTAGGCCCTACTACCCACGAAGCATGAATTTGCTAGAAACACATATCCATAGGAGGCAAAGGCTACCCACATATGAATTGAACTAATCATAAGCATCAATTAATAGGCCACATATAATAAAGATTAGAGTAGGAGAACTTAATATTTGGTATGCAAAAAACAAGATAATATGATGTCGATAAAATAAATATCTGATATACCTTGGACTATCACCAGACTTTTGTAGCTCAGCCCATAAGCTTCCTTGCACTGCTCTTGTAACTTTCACCCAATGTAATGGCTTCAAAGATGATCTACGAGGTGCTTGAGAAGATGAACTTGAGCCAATAGGGCGTGAAAGCCCTTGGCCTCTGGCTACAGTCAATGAACCCAACGGTGGTGGATCTCTTGAGCCACCTAGAGTATTAGGAGTGCCAACAGGGGGTGGTGGGGGGGCACCAGGAGCTCTAGGAGGAGCTGGTAGAGTTGGTTTCCCTCCAGGAGGTGGAGGTGGAGGAGGAGTCGGACCACCACCACGTCCAATTGGTGGAGGTGGGGGAGGAGGAGCACTGCCACGTCCAATGGGTGGAGGTGGGGGAGGAGGAGCACTACCTCGTCCAATTGGTGGAGGTGGGGGAGGAGGAGCACTACCACGTCCAATGGGTGGAGGTGGGGGAGGAGGAGCACTACCTCGTCCAATTGGTGGAGGTGGGGGAGGAGTCGGAGCACCACCACGTCCAATGGTTGGAGGTGGGGGAGGAGGAGTCGGACCACCACCATGTCCAATTGGTTGAGGTGGGGGAGGAGGAGCACTACCACGTCCAACAGGTGGAGGCGGTGGTGGTGGTGGAGCTCTTAGATTACCTCTAGGGAGAGGAGGTGGAGGGGTAGGAGGGAAATTGGAGCATCCCCCAGGTGGAGGAGGAGGTGGTGGTGGTGGTGGTGGTGGTGATGGAACTTCACTTGCACGTAGAGGGGGAGGATGTGTAGCTTCTATATGTGCCTTAGGCGGAGGCGTGGGTGGAGGAACACTCAACATAAAAGGACGTGTTGGCAGCTCCAAAGTTTCTAATGATAAAAGAGAAGGCGGAGGCGGAGGCGGAGGTGGAGGCGCAGGTGCTCCTAAAGAGCCTTTCATAAAAGAATTTATAGGGCATGGAGTTGATCCAACAATAATTGGCATAGGGGGAGGTGACGGAGGAGGATGTATCTCAGTAGGTGATCCACCAACATTTGCCCTTGAACGAGGAGGTGGTGGTGGTGGTGGTGGAGGAGGAGTAGGAATGCTATTAGATACTCCACCATAAGTGGGGGCTAATGATATAGGATGAAGTGAGAGTGGGTTATTTGTAGAAGCATTTAAAGGTGGAGGATATGGAGCTGATCCCCCGACGACAGGTTTAAGAGGAGGTGGAGGGGGACGGGGTGTCAAAAAAGTTGATCCACTTGTGTTTGGCTTTGAAGGAGGTGGAGGTGGAAATGGGGGTGCTACTAGAGAGTCATTTGTAAGAACCTTTAAAGGAGGACTTGGAGTTAATTCACCAATAGTTGGCTTAGGAGTGGGTGGAGGGGGTGGAGGGGGTG